TGTTGTGATTCAGTCTCATCTAAGCCTCCAAGAAAATGTTCTACATGTTTGGGTTTAATGTTTGTTTTGAATAGTGCACAACTCTCTGTCAACCATCTGTCCTTTGTTGTTATTATAACTTTGCTTCCCGGATGAAAACCTTTGCTTCCGAGTAATGCATCTAACTGAACAAGAGTACTGATATCATCAAGAACTAGAAACACCTTTTTACGGGCCAGTGCATTCTCTATCTTTGCGGTGTAAATCAAAACATCATGAACTCTAATTGAACTTGTTTTCGAAATGTCATTGCATAGTTGTTCTTGTAAATCAAGTAACCCATTAAACTTTCCATCGCATTTCCTTGTGATATCTTCAATAAAGCTACTTGTGTGGAATTCATGGGAATATAGCCCATAGACATGTTTGGCTAAAGATGTCTTCCCGATCCCGCCTATACCATAAATAGTGAGTATGTCTGCCGTATGTAAGGATCCATCTTTCAACCATGAAGTGATGAAGTTAATGGAAGACTTCATCCCAATAAGTAGTGGCTGAAAGCCCTGTAATAAGGGTACATGTAATCTACGGTAGATGTTCTTCACAATTTCTTCAATAAACTCTGTCTCAAACCTGAAACTTAATGTAGTAAGAATTACAAAAAATAATACACAAAACTAACAAACCAAATTTGGAGATTTCTTTTATATAAAGATCCAAATCAATATTATATGACAAGTGTTAGTGTTAGATATACGTAGAATAGGATTTATTTGCATTTACATTACTTTATTTCTATTTTCCTGATTTAGGTACCAGTTTGTGTATAAATGAGGGTTTAACCCCTTTACCAACGACAAGATAATATTCCATAAATCTGATTCCTTCAAAACAACTATTAATTTTAAGCTTTTAGTTAAGTTCTTCGCATCAAACCATATTATCTGCTCATTCTAACCATATACATATCTAATGTGTAAGGTCACACATATTTATGTATAATAAGACCAAAACTACCAATGTAATACAAGTTTTCACTAATGGGCCTCGTAACTTCACTATGTTTCTACAAGACTGTCAAACTTAACTATCAATGTGGTAAGTTTGAAAAAAAAGGCAGTAGGTTATCCTTTACTACTTACAAAATAAGTTATTTATCATAAAAGACGCTATGATTTGAAGGTAGTATGGTATAAGTAATAGTAGATGTATAGCAACGTATTCGAAGTATGGTTTTCAATAAAAGGTTTAATTAGTTATTTATGCAACAACATTTCGTCTTTTTCCCGGTGTATGCAACAATGCTATATTTAATATACAACAACACTTTAATTAAGTACCAAATAATGCAGCTAGTTAACATTGCTAAAACCGTTATGTATATTATGTGGCATGATCTCTTCCTTTCTAATCGTTGTGTCTTCCTGTTTTAAATACTATATGCATAAACCAAAGGGCTTATCGCCTAGCAGTATCAGGAGTTGAAAAAGGTGTTCCTCCTCTGAGGGGTTGAGGGTTCAAGGCTCGCTCGAGACGTTGGTGTGGTTTAGGATTAGATTAAGAGCTGTTGAAAGTAAATAAATAAATGTATAACAAACATGTAAAAATTATTAGACTAATTAATCTATCTATATAAATTGATTAATGATATCAGATAACATGGATTCACCTTTGTGCATCTTAGTTATCCTACTATATCAAATATATGTCTATTCGATGATATTAAAAGAAACTTACTGAAATGCATAGAGTGAAGATGATATTGACATTTTCATATGGGTGAATATGTGGTTACCTGCCATTTACGTCATTTCCTTTTAAATTAGCAACTTCGATAAGTGCTTTCTTCCATCGCTCCATCTTTTGACCCCATTGACTTCTTTTATTTTCATCTGTCTCTTCATCCATTTTATGTTTATGCTTAGCCATTGCATCTCCAAAGCTACTTTGTTGCTTTCTGACATGGGTGGGCTCCACATGATAAAATATGGGGATGACAATGTGGTTGGATGTGATACGCTGCTCAAGGATCAGCACCAATTCATCCAGACACCATGTTGAAGAAGCATAATTCTTAGACAATACAATAATAGAAGCCCGGGATGCCTTAATTGCACTCTCCAATTCTGGTTTCAGATCTTCTCCTGTTTCAATCTCTTCATCGTCCAAGAAGGTATTGATATTGGCATCTAGAAGGGCCTCATACAGATAATTAGTAAAACTAAGACGAGTGTCAACACCTCTAAAACTTAAAAATACATCATATCTATGATCCTGAGTTGATGAACTAGGACCACAAGTTGATGAACTAGGGCCATGAGTTGATGAAGAAGATGAAGATCCTTCTGGAAGTTCAGATAGAAGAACCATTATGAGTTACGTGTTGATGAATCTTCACCCTTCCCACGATTTTGAGTATTTATTTGAACTTAAGGGTGTATGTAAGGAAGCTTTGAAACTACTCCACAGGTTATCGATAATGTAAGTTGGTTTCACCGGCTTTCATCACATGTGCTTCAATGTCAGGATCCAGTATACATATAATGCCTGTACAAAAATTCAAATTATTAGTATTAACAATATGCAACCTAAATCTAGTCAAACAACTTAAACCTCAATAATAATATTAAAAATACCTTTGAGTTCCTCAAAACTAAATCTTTTAAGTAATTAAAATACAATACATATGCATCTCCAAACATTGCCATGTGAGCTAATATTCTTAGAAAATGTTTAAATCTCACTATATGAACTCTAATTGTATTAATATGGAAATATTACACACTAACTTTGAGTTTAGAGTTGATATTGGAGCTATATATTGCATAATGTGTATATGTGTGTTTTAACCCTTGATTTACTTTTCGTGCTCAAAGTTGATTCATGCTTCTCAGTAGCAAACAGGATTTTGGTGAAAGTCATGAAACAATCAGAGATAATAATACATGTGACTGGAGTTTCAAGTCATGTGGTTTATAAAGGTCAAGATAGGAAGCCAAAAAGTTGGATGCTAGGTACCACATGAGGCTTCTTCTGATTAATTCTAGGCACTTCATTCATTGGTTGGTAATATGTCTAAATGAATAGATGCAAAATCATTAAAGGAGAAGAGAATCAGAAGTAGTGTAACAGGTTTGTTGTCTTGTTGTCTTAGGAAAAAGAAAAGTTGAATGTGATGTCAAATATTTAGATAAGGATATTCTAATCTGTTTTATAATGAATTTTTTACAGAAACCGATTACATGAGAGGACAGGGATCAAAAAGCAAGTCATGGGTTTGTTCAGTTAAGGTGCTGCTGTAAAGGCATATCCTGCAAAGTAACTTCAAAAATGACAAACTCTGCAACAATTTTACTTCCAGAAAAGACAACTCTTGAAGATTATCTATATGTTTTTCAATTTTGGTTCTCAAGAATAAAAAATTAACAAGCTACTTTTAAAATAACCAATGAAAAAGATAGAGATTAGAATAAGGTCTCCATGAACAAGTAGCAGCAAAGCATTGAACAGTGAGAATCATATTTTAGTCTTTTCTTTCAATCACATGAAGCAAATCAACAAAATAACAAACATATAAAGTAATAAAAACAACATTACGACTTTACACGTGTATTAATCAACTAAAAAACCATTTATATTGTTTTCCTCTGTTTTTGGCAATCAAATATACAACTATCAAAAACAAAAACCGAAAAGATAAATCATTACCAGAGGTGACAAAAACCAAATCATCTTAATTATTCTGGAAAAGATTAGGATATAAGTCATTGAGTTACAGTAGTATTAGGTTACCCATCTGCAGCCTCTCTTTCTCAAGTATTTTCATGTTAAGGACGAGACCCTGAAGATTCCCCCTTATCCTACGAATAAAAGGAAACGTAAGAATATCTTTAAAGTAACATAAGTATATAGAGATCTGATACAAAATGCTATGAAAACAGATAGATGGCAATACAATACACCAAGATCTCTTTGAGTTTGTTTGTACGTATCTATGACTCAGCTAAATAAATGTGGGGTATGTTAAAGAATAATATCAAAAGGATCAGAACATGTCCATAAAAATACAAGACTACAATAAAACATTTTTAAAGCATCAGTTGTGGAGGCATGTAACAGAAACCCTTGCTTGTTAGCAAGTTGAAAAGGCTTCAAGTGAAAAAAGATAAATATTAAATTTATGTCTATTATTGGAGGTCAAATGTAAAGAATGAGAATTGAAATCTAAACGTCTAAAGATCTTAGGAATAAATACATGATGTTCATGGAGAAGTAGCATAACACTAAAAACTTATTGGTTAAAGTCCAATACAATGTGGTGGACCATTGGCATTGTTTAGAGGGAATTTAATGACCTCTGGTAGCCAAAAAATAGTCAAGGTTATATAATGTTTATTAGAGGAAATACAAACTATGAAGCGAACCCCTGTGCGTTTGTTGTATATTAACCAAAAATAAGGGCTGAGGAAAGTTGGGTTCCAAAAAATGTGATGAAATTTTGGATTTTCTTACAAAGAAGTTAACATGTATTTGACAATAATTGCTTAAGATATCATGTATTTGACCTAAAAATAAACATAAATAAATAAAACCAAAAGACCTTGATAACAACTAAAAACCCTGAACTTAGAGCCCTAAATGGATGAAATAGGGATCCATAATTCCTGACTCTAAGATTAAATAGGTAGAGAAAAATAGACAGATTCCCATCATATCAGCCCAACCACATTTTGATATTGCCATTTCCAAGCATTGATTGCAAGATTATGACTCCTTTTATCTTGTTACATCCTAAACAAATCAAAGATATAGTATATAACATACTTGGATATGTATGCCCTTTATTCATGTAATGAGAGAAAGGTTTGGGTATGAAAAAGTATACCTCACATGCACGACCAAGTATGTCAGCCTTCCTTGGGGATAAAGCTCTGAACCAATACTTTTCCTTTTGATCTGAATACAGATAAAAAGTTATATGTTAATTATTATTCACAAACATCAACTTGGACAAAGTAGTTTGTATTGGTTCCTGATATATTTATGTGATCCAACATATCAAGACTTAATTAGATAACATAGACCCATTCAGACAGATCACTACTTGGGTCGATTCATTTAAAATCACATCTACCTTGACAGTCAGGGCCATGTGCAATGAATTTACGTTATATTAGGGGTGTCAATTTATGACACGACACGACAAAAATACACGACACGAAACGAAATCGAGACGAAATCAAAATTCGAATTCGTTTTCGTGTCGTGTTCGTGTCAAGTTTAAAAAACACGATGTCGTGTCGTGTCGTGTTCGTGTTTACAAATCCACACGAAATTGACACGATTGAGCATGTATTTGTCGTGTTTTCGTGTTTGTCGTTTTTATCGTGTTATATATGATTAAATATGAATTAAATAAAATAATAGTTATGTAATATTATCTTTTTCGTGTCGTGTCGTGTTGTCGTTTTTTAATTGGTTCGTTTTCGTGTTAGTGAAAAAAAACACGACATCGTGTCGTGTCGTGTTCGTGTTACAAAAAACATTGTCGTGTCGTGTCGTGTCAGACAAAAACACGACACGATGGCCCGATTTGACAAGCCTACGTTATATTTTACAAGAAGAAAAAATTTGTCATGGAAATTTGATTTGTTATATTTTACAAGAACAAACTCTTATAGTAGAGGTCAATAAAATGAATGATAAATGGGTGGGTGGATTACATTTATTTATGTACTGAAAATAAATGGGTCATTATCCATCTTTCTAAAGAAGTTGGGTCATGGGTCAGTTAATTACAAATAAGACATGACAATAGAATATTTTAATAAATGACATCTACCTTGAATTTCAGGGCCGTCTGGAATGAATTCACGATGATGTGGATACACTCTAACAGCACAATGAAAAAACCGTTCATTGTCTAAGATGTATTGTCCTGTAGTTGTTTGAAAAGGAGAGAGATCTCCACCAATTATGTGATTCCATGACTTGTAATAACCCAACACATCTTCTTCTTCTTCATCCTTCTTCTCTCCATCTTCATACACAAGACTCACCCCACACTCCTTTACAACTTCTTCTATTAAATGTCCATGCCACTGCGGTGTAACAGTGATAGTAATGTGGTCACCAGCCTCCATCTCATTCTTCCCAAACATCCAATGACTTAACAACACCCAACAACAATTCAGAGCTTCACTACATCTGTCCACGTAACGTTCGTATATCCACATACGGTTTTTTGTAATATTACTAATTGTCATCATTGGCTTCCAGGGTAAAGGATCATAATATAATAAATCCAACCCCCCATGAAGAAGGTTTAATGTGTGCAGAGAGCAAAAGTTGAGCCCTGTAAGGAGGTTGTTTGGAGATGATGATGGGATGGTAAATGATATTACTGGCCCCACACTTCTATGCCTAAACCAACTCGGCATCTCCTCAGCTTCATACAGCATGCTGAATATTCCAAATTCATAAAACATCATCTGCCAAATACAAACCACCATAATAATTACATTATGTCTTCACATAAACACAGACAGGTAAGTTAACTAGACAAAACCTGGATTTTAGATTCTGAAGAATTAGTTCCCACGCGCCTTTTGTTGAGGAAGTCTAAATTAGTCCAGCCCAAGCTACGTAACACCTTTTCATCAACACTCATCCTTTCTTGGATTTTGATCACACCTTCAATTTCGTAATCGTTCAACCCAGGTGAAGAAGATGTCCAGTCTAACCAGTCCATTGATAACTGGAGTGGGGACATTTCTGGAACAAATACAACTTTGTTTGTATGATAATCATCAGCAACACTAAGACACAACTCTTTTAGAGTACGTGGAGGATATTTGACTGACTTCAAATTTTTACAATAATCCATACTAAGTATCTCGAGTCTAGGAAGGGTTCTCACACAACTAGGCATGGAATTGAAAAAATTGCCATCTAAATATAATTCCTTTAACATGGATAGACAACTGAAGTCCATGGGAAAGGATTCATTGTACAAGTTGTTCTTCCTAAGTGACAACGTTACTAAAGACCTCGGTAAAGACATTGCAGAGGACTTCAAATCACGTGGTATAGAACCCACAAAGGCTCTGTTTATGCCAATATTGGTAATCGTGCACATTTCCAGTGAATCCATATCCACATTCTTGATTCGAGATTCACCAAGAGTACAACCATCTAACAACAATGTTTCAACCTTGTTTAACATGCCTATATTTTTTGGAAGTTTTTCAAGATTCTTGCAGTTGCTCAGATCGATGAGGATAAGTTCAACACATTGTCCAATTGATTCACAAACATCAACCAAACCAATGCAATTTCTAAGTATTAACCTCTCAAGCACAGGGAGTTGGTCAAAATCACCAATACTATGAAGTTGTGTGCAGAAACTTAAATTAAGAATCTTCAGTGAACCAAACAACCTTTTCTCTTTTAAGCATGAGCCATCCAACTACAAAATGGAAATAAGTTAGTATAGTATTGAATTTCAACAACTCACATGCATGACTAATAAATGAAGATAACTTTACCTTTTGCCTTTTCTCAAGTCGTTGTGGATTGCTATAACAACCGGAAAATGATTCAATATTGCTATATGACATGTCAAGGGCAACCAGATTCTGCATAGGTAAGTCTAAAGGTATAGACTTTAAACGAAACCCATTCATACACAACCATTTTATTTCTTCTGGAAAGTTCTCATAAGACCCATTCATGTACACATAATTGAGTTGTAGTAGCATCAAATTATCCATGTTACTTAATGCATCTGTTTTCAGCTCATACGATGCTCCCAACTTCTCTTTCTCAAGCATGCGCATGTCAAGGGCAAGGCCTAGAAGATTTCCCTTACCCTAATAAGAAACAGAATGCAAATAAACAAATTAGGCAATACAAAATATTTTGGACATGCACACTACTAAAAGTATAATGGCTTCTTACCTTTTTTTGTTTCAACACTCTAAATGACTCCTTATGACACCATAATCGACTTCGCTTCCATGGCTTATCAGGTGATTCTTGATGTACTTCGAATCTTCCCATCTCTTGAACCAACTGATGCATCGTCAATTCATTATTCCAACCAATACTAAGAAGACATCTGTCAATGAGATTCGTGATTCCGGATCTCGTGTTCATATTACATGCCTCTAATATTGTTTCGGCAACATCTCTATCTGTTCCAACAAAAAAACAAGCAATATGCTTAAACAAGTCCTTATCATTTTTGGATGGCAAAGATTCGAAGCTCATTCTTAAGACATTATTTATACGATCATTTGTTTCTTTCTTTAGCCCTTCCATGCACCCTTCCCAATACGCCACACCCCCGATTATGAAGAAGCTTGCCCAACACTTCAAGAGCTAATGGATGTCCTTGACAGTACTTCACAAGCTTATTCAACACCTTTTCATAACCTTCCTTGGGATGGTTGCACATGAATGCATGGGAACACAAAAGTTGTCGTGATTCGGTCTCATATAAGCCTTCAAGTGAGTGTTTTACATGCTTGGGTTTAATGTTTGTTTTGAATAGTGCACAACTCTCTGTCAAGCATTTGTTCTTTGTTGTTATTATAACCTTGCTTCCAGGATGAAAACCTTTGCTTCCAAGTAATGCATCCAACTGATCAATACTATTGATATCATCAAGAACAAGAAACACCCTTTTACGAGCTACTGCATTCTCTATCATTGATGTGTATTTTGAAACATCATAAACTTGAATTGAACTTGTTTGTGCAATGTCACCCCACAGTTGCTTTTGTATATCAAGCAGCCCATTATACTTTCCATCACATCTCCTAGTGATATCTTCAATATAGCTGCTTTTGTGGAATTCATGCCAATATAGCCCATAGACATGTTTGGCTAAAGATGTCTTCCCGATCCCGCCTATACCATAAATAGTGAGTATGTCTACAGTATGTGAGGATCCATCTTTCAACCATGAAGTGACAAAGTTAATACGATATCCCATCCCAATAAATAGACGTTGAGCACTTTTTATGGGTACATGTAATCTACGGTGGATGTCCTTCACAATTTCTTCAATAAACTCTGTCTCAAACCTGAAACTTGATTTAATAAGAACTACAAAACACAGTCCACAAATCTAACAAATCAGATTTGGAGATTCAATTTATCCAAAGATTCAAATCAAAATTATATCATATATATTACTTTTAACAAGTTCTTTACATCAAAACCATATTGTGTTTGAACTTAACCATATAAGCATCTAACGTGTAAGGTCATATAACTATCTTTCTATAAAACCACGAACCTAACTATCAATGTGGCGGGTCTGAAAAAGTGCTAGTTATGGTATTGTATATTTAATACATAATGGTAGACTCATAGCAAACGGTTCAAATTGGTTTGGTTTTTAATAGAAGCATATGAAAATAAATGTAATGGTTTATCTAAATGGACTAACCTATGATAAAATATTAAATGCATAACAATTGTTAAAAAATATCCGCATGGTTACTGTATCTAACTTTGTGCATCTTTTTGATCCTAATACATCAAACATGTGTATTTAATGATATTAAAGAAAATTATTAAAATTCATAGGGAGAAGATGATATCAACATTTCATGCGTTAATTAATCATATTTGAAGGCATATGAAGAAATGGGTAAGAAAGTGGTTACCTTCCATTGACATCATTTCCTTTTAAATTAGCAACTTCTTCAAGCGCCTTATTCCATCCATCAATCTTCTGAGCCCATTGGCTTCTTTTATTTTCATCTGTCTCTTCATCCATTTTCTGTTTATGCTTAGACATTGCATCTCCAAAGCTACTTTGTTGCTTCCTGACATGGGTGGGCTCCACATGATAAAATATGGGGATGACAATGTGGTTGGATGTGATACACTGCTCAAGGATCAGCACCAATTCATCCAGACACCATGTTGAAGAAGCGTAATTTTTAGACAACACAATAATAGAAGCCCGAGATGCCTTAATTGCACTCTCTAATTCAGGTTTTAGATTTTCCCCTGTTTCAATCTCTTCATCGTCCAAGAAGGTATTGATATTGGCATCTAGAAGGGCCTCATACAGATAATTAGTAAAACTAAGACGAGTGTCAACACCTCTAAAACTTAAATATACATCATATCTATAACCATCAGTTGATGAACTAGGACCAGAAGTTGATGGACTATGGCCATGAGTTGATGAAGAAGATGAAGATCCTTCTGGAATTTCAGATAGAACAACCATTATGAGTTGTGTGTTGATGACTCGTCACCCTTCCCACCTTTTTGAGTATTTATTTAAAGGTTCTTCTTAAATGCAGGTGTACCTAAGTAAGCTCTGAAACTCCACAGGTTATCAATAATGTAAGTTGGTTTCACCAGTTTTCCTCACTTGTGCTTCAATGTCAGGATCCAGTACATAATGCCTCTACAAAAGAATCCAAATTATTAGTATTTACAATATGCAACGTAAATCTCATCAAACAAATTAAACCTCAATAATAATATTAATAATAACTTTGAATTCCTAAAAAATAAAACTTTTAAGTAATTAAAATAGAATACATATGCATCTCTGAACTTTGCCATGTGAACTAACATGCCTAGAAAATGTTTAAATTTCATTATATGAACTCTAATTGTGTTAATTTGGGAATATTTGCCCCCAGACTTTGAGTTTAGAGTTGATATTGGAGCTATACATTGCATAATATGTATATGTGTGTTTTAACCCTCGATTTAATTTTCAAGCTCAAAGGTGATTCATAGCTTAATTGGTGATAACCTTGGTTGAGAGACTGCTCTTATTTCAAACAGAAAAAGGTATATACAGGGTAACAATTACATTGCCATGGGAATTATTTAGAAAACAGTTACTCCACTAATTGAACTGGTTAACCTATTTTTCCAGCTAATTAAGTTCAGGTGCAAAAAAATATCGAAGCAATTTATTCATTTAACCTATAAAGTCCATATTTTGATTTTAAAAACCCACAAATCAACACCAAATACCATTCTGGGTACAGCTACAAGATCCACGATTGCCTCCCATGAAAGGAATTGCATATAATATTGGCATTTTCAAGCGTTCGCTAGATATCAACAATGAGTAATTTGAAGAAACAGGAAAAAAAAAAAAAAAAAAAAAAAAAAAAAAAAAAGCTTCTTGACATACAGTTCCTCAAAATTCGTTGAAAATATAAAGGAATTGAGGAAGCAATTTTGTAGCGCTGAAAAATTTCCCAATTGCACGAATCTCTGTTCCTGATTCTGGAGTAGTGGACTTGACTCTAAAAAGAGTGTCTGCTATCCTAATTGGTATATAATATTAAATAAAAGTAACTGAAATAGAAAATAAATCCAATCACATGTTGGCGAAATAAACAATTGATTATGACATTGACTTATGATTAATAAGAAAAATTGTCAAACAATATCTGAAACTAACCTAGAGATATGAAGCCGGGATGAAAGAGGATGAACCAACAGTGACGAGGCTGAGAAAGACGACTGAAAACGGTAAGTCGGCAGGTAAACGGCGAGTTAAGGATGAAGGGAGGCGGCCATATATAGAGGAGAGTGAACGAGGATGATGGGTTCAGGGGTGCTCCTTTTCTTTTTACTTTTTAAGTATTATTAATATTTATTTATAAGGACAAGGTAAATTCCAAGAAAATGCAGATATTTATTACGCAAATTCAACGAAAGTGCAAATGTCAGTGATACTAAGATTCTAGCGTGTTTTGTGGTCGGTATTTCAACCCGTTGCAACAACAATTTCAATTCCAAAACCTTTAATTTTTCTAATGTAATTTTAATTTCATGTTAATGTTTTTTAGGTTTTCTAAAATGTAAAATTAAATCTTTATGTTTGATGAAATTTATATTTTATTTTAATCAATACTAATGGTTTTTGTTAAATGCTTAAATTATTTTTTATTAAAAAAAAAACAAAGTTCATAAGCCAAAAAAAAAAAAAAAAAAAAAAAAAAAAAAAAAAAATCACCACACCCCACTCATAAGCAAATATTGGCAAGAAAGATAAATGCTTATGTGGCGCTTATGTGTTACCAAACTTTGGTAGACAAAAACATCACGATACTCATTAGCCTAATTAGATGTAACTGGGGTGGTGTTACATTCTTTTTGCGGATTTTGCAGAATTGTAATCTGTAAATTTTTTATTAGGTATGTACCATTTTGTAATTTTTTTTAACATATGGATTGTTTCAATAAAAAAAATATATTCACAGTGACCTTTTCTGTAAACTGTAGAGACAATTTTTGTAATTTATTTTCTATACGGCGACAAAACCTATAAATATATAAAAGTCTTAAACACATGGATATTTTTTGTGTAAATTATATGGATAGTTTTTGTAACTTATTTTCTACACACACAAAACATGCCAATGGGCAATAAAAATGATTCTCATGGATCCGAAGTTATGGAGTTTATACTGTGCAAGAACTCTCGCCGGTCCTACTAATTGGCCACCAAAGAGCAAGGAAGTTTCGAGGATTTATGTCAAAAATTTGGTAATAGCTTTCTTTTGCAAAGAAGAATTCAATAAGAACAGCATGCTATATTTTCATGAAGAAAATGAGAAGGAGATTATAATAATGCTTACTTTAAAAGTTCAACGAAACCAACAAGAAGATGTCTGCCAGGGATGATGTAACACCCAAAGTTTCAAATGCCAAGAAAGGAAGAAAAGCCCTAATTTAAGGGTCGACTCGGCGAGTCGGACAAGTGGACTCGGCGAGTCTGGTCTGTGCGAGGAAAACCCTAAATCCGGGACTTTTGGCACTATTTAAGCTCCTTATTCTCTCCATTAGGGTTCCTTAGAGCCCCCCTTGTTCAGAAAACAAAGCCTAAGCCTCCATTGTTGTGCATTCAAGCTTCCAAGCCATTTTTGGGTGATTTGAAGGAAGAAGAAGGAGAGGAATCAGTGAAGCATCAAGGATTTGCTTCAGATCTGGAGTTTGTGGAACCTTTCTGAAGTATTGAAGGTATTAAGTCATTTCCTTCTCTTGGATCTAACTTTGGTTGTGAGTTTTGGGGCTTTTAAGCCATGATTAGCCACCTTTATGGGTTAGAAGCTGGATCTGGAGTTGCTACTTCAGATCCAAGTGTGTTATGGCCTGGAGAAGCATAAAGTATCAGCCATTAAGTCGATTTTGAAGCCCCTTGGCCTTAAACCCTAGTTTATGGCATATTTTGCCTAGATCTCCTTCTCTACACGTAAAGTCTACAACTTTACGTGTGGAATAGGCTTGGGAAGGGTAGATCTACAGTTTGGAGTCCATGCATGACTCTAAAATCCTCTACATGTAAGGAGAACTGAAGGGACTCGGCAAGTCCTTTGAGTGGACTCGGCGAGTAGCATGAAGTTGTGGAGAAACTCAACGAGTGGGATGAACAACTTATCGAGTCGTATGAATATTGCCTTGGACTCGGCGAGTCTGTTCTTGGACTCGGCGAGTCAGGTCGCGAAACCCCAAACCCTTCGAGTTGTGACTCGAATCATTGAGTCGGGTGGAGACTTAGTGAGTTGGACAGGTCTGGACTCAGAAATCGGTAGACTCGGCGAGTCATGGACTGACT